TGAATGACAAGCGAGAGGAGAGACCAAAAACCCAGAGCTCAACCCCCGCAAGAACAACAAGGTAAGCACAGAGGCCATGTATAAGGCAGGTGAGTGACAGAGGGGCAGGACGAAAGAGCCAAAGCTCAATCCCAACAAGCACAACTAGGTGAGGACAACTAGGGGAGCACAGAGAATCCAACGTACCTGGAAGGGCTAAACCAGGCACTGCAAGGCGGGCAAGGAATGAGTGACCCAGATAAGACCATTGTAACAAATAGCACAGACAAACAAGGAAGGCCCCAGGAGAAAACTCGCAAGGGCCAAACAAAACGCCACAACCAAACCCCAACACACATCCTCAGTAACAAAACTGCATCATAATGTAACCTCATAATATCCTGACACAATAACATGTACCTCATAACAGTCACCACCACCACTGTACCTCATAACCTAGTGGAGGTGGGGCCCCGGGACTGACTCAGGCATGGGTAGGATATGCATACGAGTAGGACTGGATGGGTATAATGAGGAGCTGCCTCGCATGGGCCTATAGGCCGCCCTCCAAGCACCTGTGTTCTGACGTTCTCACATTTGTACCCCAAAAACCAAGAACCAACGCCTGGCCGAAAGAGATGCCAGACTGCATAAACTCGCCTCCAGAATGTAGGCACAAACGACTCATAACACAATGTAGCAGAGAAGATACCAGGAGCACCGCCAGGGGAAAACGACTAGAGCCTCACATGCAGAAGGGGAGAGGCGAAGGAGGTGCCCCACACCCATAACATGGGTAAAACCTCGGCGTCCTCCCCATAGCTGCAATCCAGAACACTCCAATAGCTACGGGGCACAGACTGGAGAGTGAAGATGAGCTATATGCGAAGCACCCGAGGAAAAAGGACGCAAAACACAGCACTTGTGCACACCGCCCAGACCAAAGCAAACTCCCACGGTGCACGTGCAGGACACGATGTCCAAACCGCACAACCCGCTCGGCGGGAAGGCGCCAAGAAGGATGACTTTATAAGAAAAGTAGCCAAACAGTTCGTGACCAGAGTGATTCGCGTAGGAGCAGAAACAGCCCACCTCATGAGAAAAGGAGCCAAAAAGTAGTAAGCAGCGACATACATAGCCGGTTTATTTAACGAAGACAAGGGACCTAATCGGCAACCCAACTGGGCTACAAGTAGCCCAATCCGGCATCCCGGACAAGGAGAATGTAAAGAAAATGAGCAGTGCCGAGACAGAGCACGGAGAGAAGATACAGGAACAAAAGATCAAGATAGGACCGAAAACCAAGAATAAGCCCGGAAGAGGTCTAACAAGCTCTAGAAAGGACCGAAGGGAAGCCACACTGAAAGCCGACAGACGTTCCAATAATACGGGAAGTAGCAAAAAGAGTCCTGTCCCAAGAAAAAGGGGGTGAATAAATGGAAAAGAGCACCCACCAACAGACTCAAGGGATAAGGAACCGAGCCCACGGAGTGGTCGACGTCCAACAACACGTACAGAGAGGGGGGAAGGAAAACCCCCACTCCGCGTAACCGCAAGCCCCGCACAGAGGGTAGAACAACCCCGGCAGGGTCCAAGAGGGCCCGAGGCATCCCAAGTCAGCCCCGGGAACCCAGACGGCAGGCCCCGGGGCCGAGCTGTCCCTCCAAAGCCCCGGCCTTGCAAAAAAAAAAAAAAAAAAAACGGGGCAGCTGCAAAAAGTACTAAGGAAGGGGGCCCACTGGCAGATTCATACAACACGGCTGGAGCAACAGGCTCGAATGCCCTCGTCACTACCCCAGAAGGGAAAGTCCCAAGACAGCCCGAGTCTCAAAACCATCGAAGCCCCACCCCGACCCCGAACCTACAGACGGTAAGAACCCGGATGCAGGGAGGAAGGGGAAGACCACACTAGACCGAAACAGGGGAAAGACAAGGGGGCGTGGAAGGAAATCGAAGCAACCAACGTCCCCAAGCCCCAGCACCAACCAAAATGGGGCAGCCTCGGGGCTTCCAGAGAGCAAACAACCTAGAGCGTTGCCACCACCGAAACTCAACTTGCAACTTGCTGCCTGTACTCGCATAGGCAGCAGAAGACTGGGTAACTGCGTCACAAACAAGGAACAAAACTCGTAGGACTCCGGGCCGAATGTGCCACCGACCCCACAGGCAGGAGGCAATGACAGTGAGTCACCCTGAGACAAGGGGACAGAGCAACCCTCAAACTTGTTCAAAGCGAGGGGGAACTCCGGGGCCACATCCATTGGACCCATGTGCCCCCCCCCCCTAGGGGTTTCCCAGGGTTCTGAGCATTTACTATAATAGGACTTGCGCTCAGGTAATCCCAGGCAGGGTATTGCTAGCCGGTGCCCAAAAGTCTACCAAACAACTTTCTAAAAACTGAACCCCCGAGACGTGTACACTCACGGGGACCTAGCAGGGGGAACCACCAGAAGAAGGAAGAGTACTCAGTACATAAGAGGCAAGAACCAAGGCAGACCCCCTACCAGGCAGACAAACAAAAAGAAAAAGAAAATCCCGCAAGAGGACAACGTACCCAGGCGGAACAGAGCCGGCCGCCATGAATGGTGAAAACAAGCTGCGCAGTACCCTGCGCCCCACCAGTGCAAACTGCCCCCTACTCTAACGCGAACAAGGGAGACAGAACACCCTAGTACACAAAGGGCAGACAAAAACCAAGCAGTTAACGGCCTAGCAGGGGTAGAACCCAAGGAACTTGTGGAAGGTGGCCCCAAGGGCAGTACTTACAGGGCACCTAGGGAAGGAAACCCTAGGCGCATGCAGCCCGAGTACTGGAGAACCACTCCCGGCTCACGCACCACCTAGAAGACAGTCACCACACTCTATGTACAGTGCTAAAACAACCACTGGAGCCAGAGCACACAACCTCAGCCTTTAGCATCAGCCTTAGAAATGATGGTGATAGCTGGCACGGTGGGTCTAGGGCTCCCCCTTCCCCCTCCCAGGGAGGGGGAAGCTGCGCAGACAGCGGCGCAGCGACGTGTGACGTCATGATCGTTTGCTCGTTTCTTTTAGGAGAGATCTATCCACTTGTTCGGCTTTAGGTAGCAATTTTCACCAGAATAGGGGTTTGTTTTGGAATGCTTAACTTTCTGGGTGCCTGACCCGGTCGATGGCAGACATAGAATACTTCCTACCACACGGGGGTTTCTATAGGCCATTGCTCCCCTTGCCTCTCTGAGAGGGCGAGGTTCTGGCTCGTGGTCCCCGGTAGGCCCACAGAACTCCATACACATGACTGATGCCAAAGTCTGACATTAGCATATCAGCCTAGTAATCTCCGGGAAGCCGAAGGGGCTCCCCTGGAGCTTACAAAAAAAAATTCAGAATAATTTTTTCCTTGCACATCATGGGGATGTCAGGATTTAACAGATGTGCCATTTAATGGCTAACAAGCATGCTAAAATATGAGTATAATGTACTTAAAACATACAATTAATATAAAACCAATTAATATATACCATCAATTTCATACAAAATTTATTGTGAATCAAGTTGAGTGAAAAATGAAGTTGTCTAATTGATAATCACAGTTAATTAAATTAACTACAAATTATTCAATAGTGAAATATGAACTCCCATATAAAAATTTCTGGCATACACAATTCCTTGGCAAGTGTACTATTTCCTGTTATTAATCTAACATGTGTCATTTACACTTTCCAAAACTAAAGTACAGTACTGGTATTTCGTATACTCTTTCAGTCCACAACTCGGCCATCTATTCACAACATGAAAATGTTAGTGCAGTAATATAGAGCACCACTTGGTCTCCGAACCCCTTGGGGACGAGACCCGTCGGTTATCATGTAAGTTCGAAAACGAGAAAGGAAGGGAAAAATAAACTAGAAATGTAAAAAGAAAATTTTTCAAACAAATTATGAAAAACTCTAGCGGAAAAAATTACCAGGTTCATAGCGTAAATGCGACCGTATTTTGTTTGTACTCACCAATAAGTGAAGTCCTGATCCGCTTTATAAAAGTCCTTAATTGTTCCTAACTGATTATTAAGACGTCTGGCAAACATCCTCTGGATGTTTCCTGCCAGCCTGCAGGAACATACATACATACAGACATACATACATACATACATACATACATACATACATACATACATACAGACAGCCAGACAGCCAGACAGCCAGCCAGCCAGCCAGCCAGCCAGCCAGCCAGCCAGCCAGCCTGCCAGCCTGCGTGCCGGCCAGCCTGCGTGCCTGCCAGCCAGCAAACCAACCAGCCAGCCAGCCTGCCAGCCAGCAAACCAACCAGCCAGCCTGCCAGCCAGCAAACCAACCAGCCAGCCAGCCTGCCTGCCTGCCTGCCTGCCTGCCTGCCTGCCTTTCCATCCCTCCCTAATTCTCCCATCCTCCCTCACTACTTCCCTCCCTTCCTGCCTACCTCCTAGCATCTCTCCCTACCTCCCCCTCCCTCCCATTCACACTAATTCTTCCCCTCTCTCTAATATACTGTCTCCCACCTAAGCTTCCCCATCCACGCACCAGTCAGCCATCACTGACGCAATGCGTGCATTTGGAGCCGACATGGTGCATAGATGTTCCTTGATTGTGCAGATATGTAAAATGACGGTCAGTGAACAGATATGTTCATTCTGTTCACAGAATGAACACTCCAGTCTCGTGACAAATCAAAATAATAGGAATAATAGGCCGTGAATCTGTGAAGTCACAGGGTAGAAGGCACTCTATAGAGTAGTGGCGGCCGACACGGTCAGTGGTTGAAATGGTTAAATTTTAACCTGAATTTGAAAGCAACTTTCATATAGATAGTTCGGTGAAACTGAGGAAAAGACTGGCAGGTGTCTACACATTCATCCCAGTAAGCGTCCAAGTATACACTATAGTATTTAAATATGAGACATTATTATTTAAATTTATACATGAATTAAATCAACTGTACATATAATTATATTATTAGTATACTTGACATAAAAGGAGATACTAATTTGACATAATAAACAATACCTGGCTAATTATATCATTGGCCTTTTGCTCTCTTTCTTCCATGTACCTCTCAATGTCTCGCACAATAAAAGCTGGCTTCCCATTACTATTCATCTGAAAGGAAAGTTAAACCCAAAGTTGATTGAACAAAATAATACAAGGATGGTATCTCTTTCAAAATTAAAGAGTGTACAGAGCATGAAATGTAGACAGCAATGTAGAGGTAATGTTTTCTGTGTATGGTGGGGTTATGAGTGCATGGTGGTGGTGGAGGAGGAGGGGGGGAAGGGGGGGTGTATGTGTGTAATTACCTACCTAAGTGTAGCTACAGGACGAGAACTACGCTCGCGGCGTCCCATCTTCCCAGCACTCTTTGTCGTATAACGCTTTGACAGTACAGTACTGACGGTCTTGGCCTCCACCACCTGCTCACCTAACTTGTTCCAACCGTCTACCACTCTGTTTGCGAAAGTGAATTTTCTTATATTTCTTCGGCTCCTTTGTTTAGTTTAAATCTATGACCTCTAGTTCTCAAAGTTCCAAGTCTCAGGAAGTCTTCCCTATCAATTTTATTGATTCCTGTTACTATCTTGTACGTAATGATCATATCACCTCTTTTTCTTCTATCTTCTAGTTTCGGCATATTTAATGCCTCTAACCTCTCCTCGTAGCTCTTGCCCTTCAGTTCTAGGGGAGCGACTTAGTAGCATATCTTTGCACCTTTTCCAGTTTGTTCATGTGCTTCTTAAGATATGGGCACCACACAACTGCTGCATATTCTAGCTTTGGCCTAACAAAAGTCGTGAACAATTTTTTTAGTATTTCTCCATCCATGAATTTAAAAGCAATTCTAAAGTTAGAAAGTGTAGCATAGGTTCCTCGCACAATGTTCTTTATACATTAAATTTCATTTGCCAAGTTATGCTCCATATAGTACTTATTCTGTCCAGGTCTTCTTGAAGGGAATGACAATCGTCTAATTTATTTATCTTCCCTATTATCTTACCATCATCAGCAAACATGTTCATATAATTTTGTATTCCATCTGGTAAATCGTTTGTGTAGACAATAAACATTACCGGTACAAGAACTGAACCCTGTGGTACTCCACTTGTGACATTTCTCTAGTCTGATACACTTCCTCTTATTACTGCCCTCATTTTTTTACAATATCAGTCAGAATTATTTTTATTCATGTTAAAAGCTTACCTGTCACCCCTCCAATGTGTTCCAGTTTTCAGAATAACTTCCTATGTGGAACTCTGTCGAAATCCTTTTTTAGGTCCAGATAGATGCAGTCAACCCAACCATCTCTTTTCTGTAAAATCTCTGTGGCACGATCATAGAAACTGAGTAAATTTGTTACACAGGATCTTCCAGATCGAAAACCATACCTACGGTCTGATTTTATATCGTTTGTCTCCAGGTGTTCTACCAATTTTATTTTTAAAAAATTTTTTTATTTTTTTTTTTCCAATATTTTGACTATTATACTTGTCGATGACACAGGTCTATAATTGAGCGGGTCTTCCCTGCTGCCACTTTTGTAAACTGGAACTATGTTAGTCTTTTTCCACATATCTGCTACGACTCCTGTACACAGGGATTTCTCAAAAATCAGCTGAAGTGGAATGCTGAGTTCAGGTGCACATTCTTTCAGAACCCATGGTGAAACTCCATCTGTTTCTACATTTGTGTGTGTATGTGGGGGGGGGAAGGTAGTGATGCACTATGTATGGTGGGGTTATGAGTACAGGGTGAGGTGGTGAGTGTAGTGTTGTAATACACGGAGGGTGGTGTAGCGTTGAAATACATGGAGGCGCCTGGATACAGGGAAGATACCAGCAGCACTTAAATCTGCAGATATAGCTCCGTTGCACAAGGGGGGGAGTAAAGCCTTGGCAAAAAATTATACGCCAGTTGCACTAACATCACACATAATAAAAGTGTTTGAAAGAGTGATTAGGAATCAAATTTCTAGTTTTATGGAAAACAATGAATTGCACAATCCAGGACAACATGGATTTAGAGCGGGAAGATCCTGTCTGTCACAGTTACTCAACCACTATGACAAAATCACAGAAGCCCTAGAAGAAAAGCAAAATGCAGATGTTGTATACACAGACTTTGCAAAGGCGTTCGACAAATGTGACCATGGGGTGATAGCTCACAAAATGAGGTCAATGGGAATAACTGGAAAAGTAGGACGCTGGATACTCAATTTCTTGTCAAACAGAACACAAAGAGTAACAGTCAATCAGATAAAATCGAGTCCAAGCGATGTTAAAAGCTCTGTACCTCAAGGTACTGTCCTTGCACCGCTACTGTTCCTTATTCTCATATCTGATATAGACAAAAATACACGCCACAGCTTCGTGTCGTCCTTTGCAGATGACACAAAAATCAGCATGAAAATTACCTCTGCTGAAGACATTGAAAAACTACAAGCAGATGTCAACAAAGTTTTTGATTGGGCAGCAGAAAATAACATGATGTTTAACAGTGATAAATTTCAGGTACTCAGGTACGGCAAAAATGAGGATCTGAAACATAATACAGGGTACAAAACACAATCGAATCTTCCCATAGTAGAAAAACAGCATGTCAAGGATTTGGGAATAATGATGTCCGACGATCTAACGTTTAGGGAGCATAACCAAGCAAATATCGCGTCAGCCAGAAAAATGATCGGATGGATTACGAGAACTTTCAAATCCAGGGATCCCATCACAATGGTTGTACTCTTCAAGTCACTTGTGCTGTCCCGTCTCGAGTACTGCTCAGTACTCACTTCCCCCTTCAGAGCAGGAGAGATTGCTGAAATAGAGGGAATACAGAGAACATATACGGCACGCATAGACGAGATAAAACACCTAAATTATTGGGATCGTCTCAAAGCTCTCCAAATGTACTCTCTAGAAAGGAGACGAGAGAGATACCAAATAATATACACATGGAAAATACTGGAGGGTCAGGTCCCAAATCTACACAGTAAAATAACAACGTACTGGAGTGAACGATATGGAAGAAAATGCAAGATTGAACCAGTGAAGAGCAGAGGTGCCATAGGCACAATCAGAGAGCACTGTATAAACATCAGGGGTCCGCGGTTGTTCAACGTCCTCCCAGCGAGCATAAGAAATATTGCCGGAACAACCGTGGACATCTTCAAGAGAAAACTGGACGGTTTTCTAAGAGAAGTTCCGGATCAGCCGGGCTGTGGTGGGTACGTGGCCCTGCGGGGCGCTCCAAGCAACAGCCTGGTGGACCAAACTCTCACAAGTCGAGCCTGGCCTCGGGCCGGGCTTGGGGAGTAGAAGAACTCCCAGAACCCCATCAACCAGGTATCAACCAGGAGGGTGGTGTAGTGTTGTAATACATGGAGGGTGGTGTAGTGTTGTAATACATGGAGGGTGGTGTGGTGAGTGTAGTGTTGTAATACATGGAGGTTGGTGTAGTGTTGTAATACATAGAGGGTGGTGTGGTGAGTGTAGTGTTGTAATACATGGAGGGTGGTGTAGTGTTGTAATACATGGAGGGTGGTGTAGTGTTGTAATACACGGAGGGTGGTGTGGTGAGTGTAGTGTTGTAATACATGGAGGGTGGTGTAGTGTTGTAATACATGGAGGGTGGTGTAGTGTTGTAATACATGGAGGGTGGTGTAGTGTTGTAATACATGGAGGGTGGTGTGGTGAGTGTAGTGTTGTAATACATGGAGGGTGGTGTGGTGTTGTAATACATGGAGGGTGGTGTAGTGTTGTAATACATGGAGGGTGGTGTAGTGAGTGTAGTGTTGTAATACATGGAGGGTGGTGTAGTGTTGTAATACATGGAGGGTGGTGTGGTGAGTGTAGTGTTGTAATACATGGAGGGTGGTGTAGTGTTGTAATACATGGAGGGTGGTGTGGTGAGTGTAGTGTTGTAATACATGGAGGTTGGTGTGGTGAGTGTGGTGTTGTAATACATGGAGGGTGGTGTAGTGTTGTAATACATGGAGGGTGGTGTGGTGTTGTAATACATGGAGGGTGGTGTAGTGTTGTAATACATGGAGGGTGGTGTAGTGAGTGTAGTGTTGTAATACATGGAGGGTGGTGTAGTGTTGTAATACATGGAGGGTGGTGTGGTGAGTGTAGTGTTGTAATACATGGAGGGTGGTGTGTAGTGTTGTAATACATGGAGGGTGGTGTAGTGAGTGTAGTGTTGTAATACATGGAGGGTGGTGTAGTGAGTGTAGTGTTGTAATACATGGAGGGTGGTGTAGTGTTGTAATACATGGAGGGTGGTGTAGTGTTGTAATACATGGAGGGTGGTGTAGTGTTGTAATACATGGAGGGTGGTGTAGTGTTGTAATACATGGAGGGTGGTGAGTGTAGTGTTGTAATACATGGAGGGTGGTGTGGTGAGTGTAGTGTTGTAATACATGGAGGGTGGTGTAGTGTTGTAATACATGGAGGGTGGTGTAGTGAGTGTAGTGTTGTAATACATGGAGGGTGGTGTAGTGTTGTAATACATGGAGGGTGGTGTGGTGTTGTAATACATGGAGGGTGGTGTGGTGAGTGTGGTGTTGTAATACATGGAGGGTGGTGTAGTGTTGTAATACACGGAGGGTGGTGTAGTGTTGTAATACATGGAGGGTGGTGTGGTGTTGTAATACATGGAGGGTGGTGTAGTGTTGTAATACATGGAGGGTGGTGTAGTGTTGTAATACATGGAGGGTGGTGTAGTGTTGTAATACATGGAGGGTGGTGTAGTGTTGTAATACATGGAGGGTGGTGTAGTGTTGTAATACATGGAGGGTGGTGTAGTGTTGTAATACATGGAGGGTGGTGTAGTGTTGTAATACATGGAGGGTGGTGTAGTGTTGTAATACATGGAGGGTGGTGTAGTGTTGTAATACATGGAGGGTGGTGTAGTGTTGTAATACATGGAGGGTGGTGTAGTGTTGTAATACATGGAGGGTGGTGTAGTGTTGTAATACATGGAGGGTGGTGTGGTGTTGTAATACATGGATGGACATGGAGGGTGGTGGTGTGGTGTGGTGAGTGTAGTGTTGTAATACATGGAGGGTGGTGTGGTGTTGTAATACATGGAGGGTGGTGTGGTGAGTGTAGTGT